GATGGCCAAACTTCATCTCTCATACTTAGGACATATTGTCAGGAGAGAACAGTCACTGGAGAAGGATATCATGCTTGGTAAGATGGAGGGTCAGAGAAAAAGAGGAAGACCCCGAACGAGATGGATTGGCCAGGTGGCAGCATTGATGGACTCAAGTGTGGCAGCAGGAGTGAGGTTGGCCCAGGATCAGACATTGTTTCATTCTGCTGTGCATAGGGTCGCTATGAGTCAGTTCTAACAACAACAAGAAAAATCAGAAAAAAGATTTTTAAAAATCTAAAAAAAGCCTGAGATTTATGTGGGACACCATGAAGAGGAATAACTTATGAGTGATCAGCTTCCAGAATAGGAAGAGACAGTAAAAACCATGAAGAAAATTGGAAGAAAACTTTCCAAATGTCATGAAAGACAAGAAGACAACTATTCAAGAAACTGAATAAACTCCAAACAAGATGGACCCCAAAAGAAAATCAGCAAGACATATCATAACCAAACTTTACAAAACCAAAGATAAGAATCCTAAGAGCAGCTCAGAGAAAATTAAAAGTTACCCGCAAAGGAGAACCACTAAGCTCTGATTTCTCAGCAGAAACCATGCAGGCAAGAAGGCAATGGTATGACATATACAAAACCTGAAAGAAAGAAAAAAAAAATTGCCAACCAAGAATCACATACTGAGCAAAACTGTCCCTCAAATATGATGGAAAAATTAGGACATTTTCAGATAAGCAGAAAGTAAAGGAATTTGTGATATAAAATTTATTAAAAAAATACCTAAAGGGTGTTCTTTGGACTGAGAACCAACAACAACCTACAGTAACCTGATATTGACATATATGGCAACACTACTCAGAGCTCAGTCAGGTATAAAAGTATACAAAGTAAAACAAATCTACAAGACTGGAAGGAGGGAACCAGAAATATAAGTTTATAATGAAGTCAACTATAAAGCAAAGGAGCTCTGGTAGCGTAGTGGTTACGAATCGGGCTGCGAACCTTAAGGTCAGCGGTTCGAAACTACCAGCCGCTCCGCGGGAGAAAGATGAG